ATTTACAAAAGAGGTTTGTTAAAGCTTGGATGAATCTTGTGAGAAGGGGCAAAAAAGAAAAGAAAAGAAATCAAGTTCTGTGACATTACTTGAATGGACTAAAGATCAAGATTGTTAGAAGTAAAAGGAAGGAATATAAAGTTGGTTTATTTGATCAAGGTTTAAATAGATAAGTTGTTATTTCTGGCAAACCTTAATGGAGTTTTGCTGACACCAGGACTGAAATGACTATGCTTTATGGATTTGTTTATAGATAAGAAATGGGACATGGGATGAAGAGATCATTGGCTGTAAATTAAGAGGAGGTGAAAAGTTACTAAAATTGTTTATATTTGGATAAAGTTTGGAAGTCACTTCTTTATCTTTCTTTATTATATTTTTGCTTTTCTTTCATTCTTTCTTCTTTCTTTTCTCTACATTTTTTTCTTTTCCCTTACAGTTTTTACTCTTTCTTTCTACTCTTCTTTCTTTCTTTTAGTTTGTATTAGTTTTTACTATTGCAATTATAATCTTTAATAAAATTATTTTTAAAAAAGTACTGGATGGGAAACTGACAGGAAATCCCATGGTTGTAGAGGAGATGGGTGGGTGGAGGGAAGTCCCCTCTCAGAACTTGGCCATAGAAAACAACTTCCGTCTTGCTGACAAGAAATCTCTGGGGAGAAGTCACTAGGAGTCAAGCTCACATCAGAGGAGACCTTTTATATACCTTAAAAAAAAAGAAAAGAAAAGAACATTTAAAATGATAATTAGATCTTTGTAATGCTGGGATGATCTGCTTTTTAAAAAAAGTTAAAAATAGATATTAAGTTGTATTAGTGTTAAGAATTCTCAAACTTTCCATTAGTTTCATTCATTCGTTCATGGAATAGACTGATGTGAGGATTGACTCTAAGAAAAATTTTTTTCCCCATCCTATGCTAGAGGAAATTGGATGCTGAGTCCAATTTCTGAGCAGTTCAAATAAATATGATCCTATATCAGTCCAGCAATCAGCCTGTAACTTTAGATCATCAGTGTAAGCTGTTCTCAGGTTCAGAGAAATGATTTTTCTCTTTAATAACAGAACTGTGGGGTTTCTTTCACGTATATGTCCCTCCATGAATGCTTTCTCCTTGCAAGGCAGAAACAAAGCAATTTCCTTCTTTTCTTGTAAAAAGCATGGAGCAACAAATTAGCAGAAAATAAAAATAGTTTTAAATCAATTCAGATGCAGCAGAAGCCAGGTAGTTAGACATAGTTCACTTTAATAGTATAGTAAATTAGAAGGAGCATCTCTTTGCAATGAAACTACAGTAGAAATAAGGGAAAGTGTGCTTTGGAGCAGGGCAATTGTTCTCACTGTTTGGCTGGTTATACCAACATAGGCTATAATATGGCTTTAAAATAATAGTAAGAAAAAAGCAAATCGATCAAACATCCGTTTGGCATATCAATATGTTCAAATTACTGTGACATTTATACAATAGGGTTATCAGAGCTGAGGTGCTGAAATTTGGATGACACTTAGAAGGCAGCAAAGAGGGAGAAAACTCTTAATTCTTTGCTTTCATCTGGTGGCAGTCTAGATTTTTGCAGCCCAGATCTGCTAGCCCTACTGTAAACGTCACTGTGCCGTAGGATGGCTTAAGCATAACAGGTATGGCATGAAGTAGTTTAAGCTATAATAACACGAACTGTTAAGAATGATGGGTTTTACATCAATATATAGATGGCAGAAATCCCTCAACTATCTGTTGGAAGTGACTGTGGATGGATGGTGGACCTATCAGATTTATGCCTGCACAATTACCTTAGTAAATAAAATCCAGGGAAGCATTATGCTTTGTATAGGTGCATTACAGATATTTTTTTGAGTGGCATCTCTATTAAGTAATGAAGGAAGGCTGGTATCAAGTGATTGGGGATTGTCTGCTTGGATAATTCCACGCCCATCCCACATTTCATCTGACCCACTAGCGCTAATGGTGGGTGCAAATTATTGTAACTTCTTAATATGTAATAGCAAATGAGGCCCAGCAAATTCTTAAACTTTATGATGTGTGGATATTAAGCATTTAATTTCCAATCCCCTTGGCGTTTGAAGCACAGGTCAGAACTGGAACAGACTTGACTCTCACTTTAAAATGAAGGCTATTTTGGGTGACTGTGAAGTCTGCATCTGTGCCTGACAATTGGAAGAATCCTGTCATTGGCTCCCTATGCAAAGGGAAAGCTGGAAAAAGTGAAAACACAAAACTACAGGGGGATTCATGTAAGTTTTGGCAGAATTCTGAGTGAAAATAAGCAACCTTTGGGGACTGTAGAATTGCTTTAAATTGGTCTAGGTTGCACGGTTCACGTTTTGCTGTTCAAATGTCCTTGAGAATAAATAAATAAGTAAATAAGAAAGTTTATGGTATATTAGTTGATATAAAGAAAGCATATGATAAAGTGAATAGGCTTGAATTATGGAACACTTTGTGAAAAAATGGAAAGATATAACAGAAGTAAATCATACATGAGAATAAATAGAATACCTAGCAAATGGTTCAACAATGAGCAGAGAGTAAGACGAAGATAAATGATGTCCCCGACCATTTCATGTATTTATGGATAAATGAAAAAGAATGTGTGTGGGGATGTTAGAGATGTGTTGATTGAGGATGTGACTCTGCATGCATTTTTTTATTCAAACAATGTCACATTGATGACTCAGAACCCAAATGATTTGCAGTAAATATTAGACAGATTGTATAATGAAACAAGGAGTGTGGATCTGAAAATGTTTCTACTGGTTGCCTCTGGCAGTAAAAATAGAGAATATTGTTGCGAGTTATACATGAATTGGGAAAAAAAATGTGACCTCTGTACCTTAACAGGCTGTTTACCAATATAGGGAAACAGCGAAATTTATAAGATGTGCAAATGCTAATAGTCGCACAGTGCACAATGTGTCATTTCTTGCTTGTGTGAAAGACATGAAAAGTTATTTATTTATTTTGCAGCATTTTTTTTTTTTTTTTTACAAATCCTCACAAGACTCAGCCAGACAATGGCTCTTTAACGGCATGCTTCTGCAAATGTTATCATATAAAAGTGAGAGTTGGATATGTTAAGAGAAACATAGAATTGGATCCAGTGGGACTAGGTACTCAAGAGGTGTGTGTAGTAAAAGAAAAAGAGAGAGAATCACGAATGAATGGCTGCTGAAAAAATGTGGATTGAATACAAAAGTGATCAATGCAACAAATACATGGAGGTGGTTTGGTCACACAGAGGGAGTGGATGAGGATCATTCAGATATATGAAAATAGACTGAATGAATTGGAAGGAAGGAAGTCATGGCTGGATGAAGCTGATGGGATTGCCAAAAAGACAGAGGGGGAGGTTTAAAGAACAAAAGGTGATGTATGAATTATGGGATATTGTAGTCAAAACCAACAATTCATGTATTGCTAGATAGGCACATGAAAGGAGGCGGAGACTCTGTGAAATCACTTCCTGTCTACCTCTTCTTCACCATGCATTCGACCTGAAGTCACATGTCTGAGTTCTTCAGCTCAGACGCCATTTTTTGGCCTAGTTTAGTAACTTAGTAGTTTAAACCTGC